GAAAGACTCGCAGGGATTATTATGCTATCAAAACATTAATGAAATCCATCCAATTTTTATCCAATTTTTTACTCACATAATTTTGTCTTAGTCTCAGGGGATTTGGGGTGCAATTTTAAAAAAGTTGATTATAAAACATGGTTTAGTAAAGTGATTGGCTGCCGCAGGGGGAAAAATATCTAAACATTGCATTCTTAGTTAACATGCATATTGGAAAAGCATTTTTTGCACTCCTGCTCAAAAATATACACTGTTAGAGAACAACATTTCCCAAAAGTGTCTGGAAGCTGTCTAAAGATACCGCCTTTAAATTCAATGTAGGCATACAGGATGCGGTATATACCATGTTTGTGTATGTATATAGTATGTGTATGAGGAATTTGCAGGTTTATACATATACTTATTCCTATTGTTGAGGCCCATTAGGTTAATCAGTGTTTGGGCTATGTTTGCTCTCGCTTTTATTGTAATGTAGTTTTTATTTTGAGCCATATATTTGGTCTAGAAACTGTGGCTAATACTCATGCATGCTACAGAGACAGACATAGTTAGGGCACTTTTCACCTGCAGCAATGCTGGGTGTTGTTATCTGGGTATATGGTAAGTGGTTTTCCTGACTGTTTATGTTAACAGCTGCATTGCAGATACAAGCAGAGGGACAAATATGATATGTAGTTGAGGCAGTCAATAAGAATCCTTTCCTTCCTCTTTTATGACTCAAGCTTAACTTGTCCTTAACAAAACCCTTAAAGCTGCAGGAATCAAGTTTTCCAACAGCAGAGGGCAGAACACATTAAAAGAAGCTGACAGATAGTACAATAAACAAACACCAGACTGACAGTCTTAGTGTTGAAAGAATTAGCATTTAGCAGATGTAAGACCCAGATATTTTTTCTCAGAAGCAGGTTTTATCTGCCATAAAACCTTTAGAAGACAATATGTCTCCATCAACGTCTGCACATGCTTGGGTAAGTTGTAACAATTAGACAAAAGAAGCAAAAGTTTCTCTCTCTCTGTACCAGACTATGTCTGATTAAGCATGTGTGTACTGTTATACTGTGTATATATACATATTTTGAATTGAATTATATATATATATATATATATACACACACACACACACACACATTATGAAGTATATATATAAAAGTATAGTATAGAAGTGAGAAGAAATTACACTAACACTTTGCTACGATGTAAAGTAGTGAGTGTACAGCTTGTATAACCTTGCTGTCCCCTCAAAATAACACATCATATATGTTGTAGAAAGACTTTGTGCATCGTGTGGACTACTAGAAGGAGCTACACTCACACTCCCTCATCACTGGAAGTTCAACATAGCAACTCATAGCAAAGAAAAAAAGAATTGTTGCTCTACATAAAGATGGCCTAGATGGCCAAGAACATGCAACCTTCTTGCTGTGAGGCAACAGTACTAACCACTGCACCACCATGCCACCCCTGATGAGGGCAAGATAAACTTATTTGGTTCAGATGGTGTCAAGTGTTTATGGCGGCAACCAGGTAAGGAGTACAAAGACAAGTGTGTCTTGCCTGCAGTCAAGCATGGTGGTGGGAGTGTCATGGTCTGGGGCTGCATAAGTGCTGCCAGCACTAGGGAGCTACAGTTCATTGTGGGAACCATGAATGCCAACATGTACTGTGACATAGTGAAGCAGAGCATGATCTCCTACCTTCGGAGACTGGGCCGCAGGACAGTATTCCAACATGATAACGACCACAAACACACCTACAAGACGACCACTGCATTGCTAAAGAAGCTGAGGGTAAAGGTGATGGACTGGCCATGCATGTCTGGAGGAGCGCAAGGTCTCTAACATCCACCATCTTCGTTATGTCGTCAAGGAGAAGTGGAAGAGGACTCCAGTGGCAAGCTCTGGTGAGTTTTTGTGATGAAATCTGAAGCTGGAGAGGTATGTCCTGGTCGTCAAAGAAGCAGAAACAAAAGATGCAGGATGATGGAGGATGAACTGCGAAAGAGAGAGACAACCTGCATGAACATATGCTTTCTACTGAAATTCTACTCTCACTTCATTGGTGAATGACGGTTCGATTTTCACGTCATGATTGAGCGAGTGTTCCCAAAGGGACTTTTTATGGAGGAACGCTAACTCGCATTCCTCACATACAGTATGTAGCTATTTGGCTTACCGGCGTGAGTACTTTAGCTTTTTCCCAAGTTCGAAAAAGGAAACTTAGTGGTGCAAGGTTTATGTTGAAATGAATAAGGGTTTTGATTAGATGTATATTTGGGTTTTTTTTGTATTTTTCTCTTCATTATGTTAATAACTGATAATAGAGATGCACTTCCTCCTACAATGTAAAACATTCAATGAAATAACATCTACATAGGATATACTATTTGTGTGTGTGTTAATGACCATATTACTGTTATTGTGTGCACTGTTTTTGAAATGTTTGTGCTAATAAAGCCCTTTTGAACTGAATTAAATTGAGAATATTCTTACATTATTATTTACATTGGCAGAATTGTACATTTTCAGTCATGCCAATAAAGCCCCTAGTAACTGACAGATAACTAAATTGAAAATAGATAGGTGGAGAGAGAAAGAGAGAGTAGGTCATGTACAAGTTGTGAGCTTGCAGAGCGAGTCCTTCCTGCCCGTTGTGCATTTGATTTTGTTGGCCCATAGGTGACAGTGAATGAGAGACAAAATGCATGACAGAGCAGGAGACACAGATGGGCAGTGGGCACTTAAGGCCACTGAACATTCATACAGTCTAATAATCCCATGAGGCAAAAGGCCTGTGGGTCTCCCTTTGAACCGCAGTCCATTCAACATAAGAAGAGGGAAACATGTCCCCACCCCTTTGCAGTCACCAGCATTTCATTTGCAATCTAAATCTAAAACACAGGGTGCTAGAGATTTACTTCAAAGGGCTTTTTGATAGCTTGGATAGAGCAAAGACTTGAAATAAAATGGCTAATTATGAGTGTTGATTAGTAGGCCATGTAAGCTACAGACTAATTGGATTGCACAATGTAGTACTGCTTTTGTTTTTTGTGCATTTTAATGAGGTATTTTACTAGAAAGGCTGAAATGGTGAAGCATGGTTTGTGTTTCCAGTAATAAAAATGGTGGCTGATACAAATGCATATGTTATACACACATTCATAGTGGAGCCTTCAACTCTCTAGTTGTGGTTATTTTATCAAAAACGGAGCTATCCATATATTCATAAACACCAATTGTAAAAGCTTTTTTTGTGTTGATAGAACCGTCAGAAGTTCCATGTAAATACATTTCATCCTGATACAATGGGGTTCTATTTATCTATTCTGCCTTATTTATCTATTCTGCCTTTGTGATATTTAGAACGAATCGAGAGCTCGTTTTCACTTTCATCCTGTCAGAGGGTGAATAATGAAGCCTGAAAATGTTGTAATAATTATATAATAATTTCCACAGATGTTAAATGTTAAAACTTATTGCTTGTTTGGCAAATAAATGATTTGCTTTTTAACAAGTGCTTCTTAAAATGTCATATTGTTGTAGAGATCAGACAGATCTGCAGCCAAGTATAACAGCAAATATGGAGTTTAAGTTAAAATATGAGTGATCTACAATATTTTGGGATTGTTACTGTAACACCTTACTATAGGTCAGGTTAACCAATGTGAAGTTAAAAAAGATATAAACATAAAATAGATGTACCAATTTATACTAAATAACATTCTAATCAAAATATAAACACCCAAACCTAGTGCTTGGTCCTCTGCAGGCATGCCTGCTATGAAGGTTGACCCAAGTTCAATTTTTTTTTTTTTCGTGACTCCGGTAAGGGGGTGATAGTGTTTTTTGTTTCTGCCTTAGTGTGCGTGTGGTATGGTGTGTTTTAGTTCTTTGTTTGCGTTCTCTATCTATCTCTCTCTCTCCCTCGCTCTCTCTCTCTCAAATTAGCTTTATTGGCATGAATGTATAGCAACAATATTGCCAAAGCTATATATAAAGTAGCCTTCATGAGGACAATTAATTTCATACATTTCATTAGATAAGAAAATAGAACAGCAAAAGTTGTTTGTGTGTGTTAATACAAAAACAAACCAAAAAAAATTAAAAATTAAAATAAACTAAGTAAATGACACTGTAACGTGCGTTATTATAAAAATATAAAAAAATGTACATAAAATTAATAGATAAAACCGTGTGCGTGTGTGTGTGTGTGTGTGTGTGTCTCCCTCTCTCACACCCTACCTGCAGTAGAGTTGTGGGCGTTCCTTGGGTTGGCGCCAGGACACACCTGACCAGCAACCGCCAATTCCCAGCCATTGGGAGAGAAGAAACTTTTCCCCGACGGATTGTTGAGTTATCTGATTCTGCCGGATCTTGTCACGTAGGCCTACCAGCCAACCTGTTGTTAGAACCTCTCGGTAGGCTAATGCTCTCCTCAGTCTCTCTCTGCCACAAACTAGCTCGGAAACCCAGAAACTCAGCTACACAATGGACCTTACTTGCCTGCTTGCCATCCTCTCCTCACCGTACTTTTTATTTGTTGTTTTAATAAATGTTTACAACTCACTCCTTTGTCCGATCTGCTTTTGGGTTACCAGAAACCTGACACTGACAAGCTTCTATGTGAATATCAAATAAAGGCTATCTGATTGAATGACTTGTTACTATGGAGATCTGTGAGAATACAATAGGCTGCGCCTAAAAGGAAAATCACGCTTTTTTGTGGGGAGCAAAAGATAACGGATAAACTGATAGGCCTATCTAATGATCAATTTAAGTAGGACTATGTTGCGGAAAAGAAAAAAACAATTAGCCTATAATTGAACATGGTCAACCCTCATTGATGTTCTGTGCGGTTCTTTCTTTTTTCTAAAATCAAGTGGGCTACAGAAAATTAAAACTGGATCACGTTTGTATGTTCCACCTTGTTCAAAAAGTGTCAGACAGGATCGTGAAACGCACTTGCACATCCACAACAAAAGGGGAAAGCGGATGGGAGGAGGTCTGTGACAAGCTCCAGCGGGGGGAGATTTCAGTGCAGGTGTCCTTGGGTTTCTTTTTTTTTTCCCTTTCCCCCTGACACCTCGGAGACAAGACTCGACCGTAAGTAAGACTAAGACTGTTGAGGAGGAATCAGAGATGATAAAATAATAAATGTTTGATCTGCCATGAAATCCGAAAAGAGCAGCAAAGGGAAGATATGCTCGTCTGGATGAGAGACCCCCGCTGGGTGAAGACACGCAGCGTATGTTAGCTGAGCCGTGAAAGCTTGCTGCCATTGACTGGCGCTGAGGCTGAAATGGGAGCGAAACGGTGAAAACCGAGCGCAAGGGAGTGAGCATCCTTCAAGCAAAACATCGCATCACTGATCATTTGAAGGTATTATACATCTTCTACAGATTAGCAATCCGTGATATTTGCCACGGTCTGGACATTGTCAGTTGATGCTGACGGCTTGAACGGTGGCATTTATTGTCTCCAGAACAATTAAATTTTTCTTCTGCAGATGTGGGCTGCAAGACGAATAAGGCCTAGTCGGTGGGTGAAACGTTAAGGGATTAATCACTGATCACGATGAACAGCGATTCAGTGTTAATAATCTGCAGCATTAGCCTACAAGCTACTCAAGGATGGGTCTCCTGGACTATTTTCACATGTAATGGATGATATGCCATGTTAAATGAGATGAATATGGGAATTATGTGAGATGCATGTTATTGCACCTGAAATCCACTGATAAAGGAGGACCAGCTACTGCATCTTATTGTTGTGAAAACCTGAAAAGTGCAAACAAACCCTGAGCTGGTTTTGTCTCCTGTCATTCTGCACAAGCTCAGAATGGGACTAACGTGACTCTGCTGGATGTGAGGCCACACATGCACTCACTGGCCCCGCTGTCAGACGCACAATGCCAAGCTCTCAGGTTCCCGGTATGGGCATGAATTTCACTGATGTTCCCTGGGAGCCCGGTTTGACCGGCTCTGGACAAGACCTAGTCTGGTCCTCCACTGCTAACAGCGTTGTGAAGATGGCGCTCATATCTCTTATTGTGTGTGTGTCCTTATTTGGGAATGTGGTGGTTCTGCTGGTGTTCCAGAGGAAGCCTCAGCTCCTTCACGTGGCCAACCGCTTCGTCCTCAATCTCCTCTTGGCAGACCTGCTCCAGACCATATTAGTCATGCCCTTTGCCATTGCAGCCACCGTGCCAGGTGTGTGGCCACTAGATGCCCGACTGTGCCAGGCTCTGGTGGTGCTCATGCACCTTTTTGCATTTGCTGGAGTCAACACCATCATAGTTGTCTCTGTGGATCGCTACCTGGCCATCATTCACCCTCTGTCCTATCCCACCCGCATGACCCCTCACCTGGGCACCAACCTGATCATCTGCACCTGGGTGCTCAGTTTCCTGCAGAGCACGCCTCCACTATATGGCTGGGGGGCCATTGACTTTGACCGCCACCACAGCGTGTGCTCAGTGGTGTGGTCATCTAGCCTGTCGTACTCAGCTGTGGTGTCCACCTTCTCCTTCTGGCTGCCTGTGCTCATCATGCTCGGATGTTATTGGATGGTATTTAGAGCAGCTCGGAGGCAAAACGCACTTGTGCACCCCATACAGACACAATCCTACTCCCAACCATGCCCACAGGACTTCCAGGGACCTAGCAGTCCACAGCGGCAGCCTCAGCCCCGGCCCCAGCCCCAGCATGCCAGTTCACCTGATGGCCCCTATTCAGCCAGGGGGTACCCTGTTCGAGTGAGGCACAGACGCTTCCACTACCACTGCAAAGCAGCTCGTGTTGTTTTTGTGATAATGGCTTCATATATCCTCAGCATGGGGCCTTACAGCATACTAAATACTATATCTACGAGTGCCAGAGCAGCTGTACCTCCCTGGCTGTCCTCCCTTGCCCTTGTGCTCTTCTTTTTGCAGTGCTGCCTCCACCCGTACATTTACGGTTACATGCACCGTAGTGTAAGGAAGGAATTCCTAGCTTTGCTGTGCGGGCTGTTCTGCAAACAGGGCCGTCCCAGCCAGAGCTCTGCCGTGGAGAGCTGCTTCACAACTACAGAGGGACGACTCGGTGCCCACTCTCACGTACCCAGTCTGACTGCTCGAGTCTTCCCTCTGCGGACTTGGGAGGAGTGCACAACATCCTCCTCTCCCACTTGTGAGAGGAAGTTAAGGGACAGCCGTAAAGAGACCACCTCTACCAGCGTCAGCTCTGAGAGGGAGCTCACAGTCCACAGCAAACAAAGCACATAAACTGCCTTGAGGACTCATCAGACAGACCATATTTTCTCTTACTTAAAGAGCTTGTCATACAGTGTGTTCAAACATAAGTTAATACACCTACTTGACAACAGGGTTATTCATTCTGAAGTTGCTGGCATTAGGAATAGTGGTATTACCTAATTGATCACCAACACAATGACCTTTACTATTTTAGTATTTAGTATTTTTTAAGCTTGATTAAATTATTGACTTGAGATTTCAAGTTAGGTTAGGTTCAGTGTTGCATTATGAATGTATAATAGAGCCAACTGTTCTAAATAATGAGTATTACATTATTTTAACTTCATCAAATTATGAGAAACAAATAATCTTTTTGAGGTGTGTCAGATAAGTCATAATGTGTGTAGCTGTAATTATGTGTTGTCTCTACAAAACATTGTTTGAAATGTATGCAATTATTGTACCAGTAACTGTTAAATACCAGAAACCATATATTAATTAATGTTTTTGCCCACAGGTCTAATATAAATTCCACTGGGTTTTTTTTTAAACTAGACTAGTCTGACTCATGTTGAGATAGAATTCTTATGTTGGATCAAAGTTGTTGCTCTAATTATGGGGCATAAATGTCTTTGATAAGGTATTGATCTGCAGTATCTGCACAATTACTCTATCTCCTTTAAACTGTTTGTGTGTTGTATTCTCTGTGATCCTGTCTAAGGGGAACAGGATGTACTGTTGTTGTGTAAGTGCAAGCAAGCCTCGCCTGCAACTAATGAACTCAGGGTCTGCTTGCGGAAACATTTGTAGTGCCCAACCCTGTTCTTGAATCTTGCTGAGCAAGTTAATATATGTGTGTTTACGTCTGTTCTTAGTCTCAAAGCACCTTTTGTGTAAATGAGTAGTATAGCGATTTATTGTGCTTTCCGGTTACAGAACACACACGAGTTGGTGACTCTCTCCGATGGGATGACCGTGGCCTCTTTGTTTCCTTAAACTTTAGTTTAACCAAGGTGGACATTTTACATCTCACTGTGTGCCACTGTACATTTGGTATTTGCTGCCTTTGTAATGTCAGCCTTTCTTTGAGGAAGCACCGTATTTTTGTTGAAAAACTACAGTGCACAGAGAGCAAAAAACATAACTCAAGTGGACTTCTCCCGTTATTTAACGTAGGCCGCATGCCGTAGGATCTTATATAACAGATTTCTTATAGTCCACTGAATACATGTAGATTTGTAAAGATACCTCCTGATACAGTATTTGTAATAGAAAACCCTGTCTGTTAAAGACCACAGCAAGGATGAGTACTTATGTAAGTGTTATATGCTTGCCGTGACTCATATCAGAGAAAGGCAATCGATTGAGTTAATTGGGTAGATGATGCGTCTTGCCAAAGGATGTGCATCACAACATTATGTGCATTATTTGAAAAGTGGCTCTAGTTGACACATGGTCAAGTTTTTGTAACCCTTCGGGAAAGAGTAAACATAATTGAGCAGAATCAGCCAGGGTGCTCCCAGTGTTATAGTTATTAGACTGTGATAGTTTTATGGGAAACAATTCACAAGGTATCAGACCTAACTGGACTGGCGTGGATTTCAGCCTTGGTTTATACAAAAGGTCACTGCATAAATCCGTACCACAGTATTAATGACAATCAAACTTGTATAATATGTTTTAGTGTGTTGCTCTGGATAGGACAAAGGGGTACAGTATGTTATGAAATTTAAATAAGAGAAAATAATGTTTTTAAGTGCTTTAACACTACATATTTTTGCGGTTACTATTGTGCTTTTGTATTATTTCTGGTTTTGTTATCCAACATCAAAATTTGTGGGTTGTTTAATAAAAGTAAATTAACTGTAATATGTGTAAAATGTTAAATTCAATTCCACAGGTTTTTCACATCAAATACTTGCATAAGACTAAGGTGGGCATGACTGTGCCAAAGTTTTTCCCTGCCTCCATCAACCAATGCCTGGCTTTAGATATAATGAGCAGGATCTTTTGAAAAACTACAAACTTAAAGGAAATTTGTGTAGTCAGGTCTGACTGAGGCACAGGTGAAGGAAATTCCACAAATCAAAGTGAGGCTGCTCAGCCAGAAATGGGATTAGATTTTAACAAAAGCCAAAGGTTCTTAATTTGAAGTTGGTTTTTTTTGCATTTTTGGTTAAGTTCTATGATTTTAGTCAGTACACAAAAGAAATGTACATTGTGATGAAGAAGCTGAAAAAGTTTATAAGGTGCCAATTCTTGTCCCTTTCCTTATATTACTAGGTGTCCTTCCCACACAGAAGGCCATTATACACAATACAAAACTGACAGAGGAAGAATAAAATGTGGCTACAAATAGCGCACTACACTGCATTTGTCCACACTGAATCATTATCACTGTCGGAGAATTCTTGCAATAACTCTATACTCATCCTTAGAACTCGGTCTCTTGTAAGCTTTCTCATTTTGCTTTGTATTTTTGTTTCAGCCAAGAAAAACTGACTAGGAGCTGAAGACTGCATCCTATTAGCATCATGTCCACATACAAAAAGTTTTTAAAAATGTGGTAAGCATGTGCAAAAAGTTTTTTTTTTTTTTAAATTGCATTTATTTGCTAAAGTGTTATCACCTTGGGTGATGACTTCACACTGCTCGAAGCAAAAGGCAGCAGTGTTTCATTAAGTTAAAGTTCAGCAAACCACTTATTCAAATCTAAAAGGGTGCATATGTACTTAATCAGTAAATTCATAGACAGCATTATGATAACTTGTGTGGCCAAACAAATCAGGCATGTCACTGTGAGATTGTCCTTCATGTGAAACATTCTGTAGCATGTTCTAGATACAGATGTGCTTCTTAACCAAGTGTACCCTTTGTTTCTATGCAAACTTAAATGTAGCCATCAGATACAAAACAGTGGACATGTATCATAGCAATGTCAGTGTTTTATATCATTTCTGAACAATACAGGCTGATATTTTTACCTTAAAAAAAGAAAAAAAAAACTCCTACAGAAGGATCCGTATTGGCGAAAGTCTTTAAGTAGCATTCTCTCGGTCACTCTCTCTGTACAGTATGTACACGCATTTTTTCCCCTCATCAGTACAGGTAATGAAAAAACAAAACATTTAACCATATGGGTATAGAAAAACAAAATACAGAAATTTTTACTTTAAGAAAATTAAAATTAAAAACAGTTCGGTTTTCTTGTTAAACTCAAAGCAAACTGCTCACTACAACAGCTATATCATTGGAACCTACACTGATTTGCAAGGACCCACTCAAAATATTACCAGTCAACAGTAAACACAAAATTATATATATATATATTTTTTTTAAAGAAAACAGCAACATAGGTTTAAAGCACAAAAGAGGACGGGCTCTGCTCTTCGGGTCTTGTCTATAATAAGTGATGGTTTCAGTTCAGGTCCATTAGACCACTTTATCCCGTAGCCAGCACTGAGGAGGTCAGTACTGCAGCAGCAAGGAGTCAGTCCACCTTGACCACACTGTAGATCTTATTTACAAACCAGAAGCAGGCGAAGAAGCCAATAGTTCCTGAGGGGGAAAAAAACTTAGGTTAGAGAATTCTTTGATAAATGTTATAACATACAAAAAGATTAAAATTAATAAAAAGGCCACAAGGTCTTAAAATTCATGTACTTCAGGAGCCTAGAGACACACATACACACACACAAAGTGTGAAATTGTACAGCCAGCTTGTTGTTGCAGGAAAACCAAATTCCACTCCCTAAAAGCTTGAAAAGTAACTTTTGACAGGGCTGGGACTGCAATTTCCACAAAAACACCAGCAGCAGCACTTCATTTTGTCAGAGAGAATATTCTCCCCCAATGCTGAGAAGCCAGATGGGTCAAAATCCTGGATCAATTCATGTGGGTATAAAAGTCCTATCTGACTGCTCAATTGGGGGCCACACAGCCCAATCCCGAATTAAGTTGGGATCAAAGTTGGGATGAGGTGAATGAGACAGACAAGAAAATAAAAACTTAAATGGGGAATGAGAGAGATTAGGATTATTTAGATCAAAACTGGAAGCAAGGAGGGAAACTGATCATCTTTTCCTAGAATCCTTGGATTATTTCTTGGTGATAATCTTTTGACATCTCGTCCCCTTGGTACTTACAGCTCTGTCTTAAGATAGTGTCAAGCAGTGCTGTAGTGACAAGCAGGGCTACAGGCTAACTTTTATCTGGCCTAACGACAGTGCAGTATAACACCAGGGGGAAAAAGTCATCATCTGACATAATTGTGAGCAGTATATTTCTGGTTGACATAAAGACTAAGCTGTTATCTAGTCCTGTATATTATCCTCTTCATCATCGTCTCATATGAGTGGGTGTGCAATAGAGCTGGACAGGGCTGGAGAGCGCTGTTGTCATGCAACATGTGTCCAATTTTGTCCCTTAACATGCACGCCAAAGTGGCAGTGTACTGTTCATCCTAGCTTGCAAAACTGTAGTCACACAGCTGCATATGAAGTGCAAATGCAGAGAAATTGTCTTAACAACAATGGCAATGAATCCTGCATATTCAACATTGACTTACTATCATCCATGGCAACGAGTGAATGTAGCGCCTGTATCTTTTGATCTACAGAAAAATAGAACCAAAAAAAAAAAAAAAAAAGGAACTCCCTGATAAAACTAGGCTCTGGCCTTTCAAACTGAAAACCACAGACAGAAATATGACCCAAATAAGTCTGCAAAACTAGACCTGACCAAGAGGGACTTTGAACATTCTCGTTTCATTTCCCACGGTCTCCCTGATTTTCATAAAACTTTAAACAAACCCTTGCATTTAATATGCTCTTTACTGCATTTGGCACAGTGCTCCTATATTGCCAGTAAAGAAATAAAAAAAGGCCAAGGCTTGGCTTTAACTAAATGAAAAAATGTACAATAGTGTTGACTGCTTCCTGGTGTCTTATTTCATAGGAACAGGATGGAAGTCCTGAATCTTCACAATACAGTTAAACTGACATTGGGTGGCACTTTACAAACTGAGCAAAGCAAACAATGCCATTCACACCCACAAGGTTCACACTCCTTTCTGCCTGACATATGGTGAGCTACTGGAGCTTTTCCCAAAATTGTTATACAAATGATAATTTGTGATTTTTATACAAAAAAAGCAACTCATCACAATCTCATTGCAATGTGTCAACACAAGCAGGAAATTGTTGTGGCTCACACATCCTTAACTAAAAGTCTCACCTGTGAAGAGGAAGAAGATGAGGACCATAATCATAGTGTAGCCAAAGTAGAGGATGGTGCTGGCAGCTCCAATTATTTGCAGCTTCGAGAAGAAGTAATGCACAGCGTAGATAAACAGATAGACAGCTGTGAAGCCGCTGGTCAGGAAGGAACGCCACCACCAGTGGTAGTCCTGGACACACATTACAAAAGATGACATGATATGATCCAGTAATGAGGATATGTCAAGTTAAATCTGGAGCAGATGGAAAATGCAAACACAAAAAAGCCATATTCACAATTACCGTATAAAAAAATATTAGCACATGTAGTTAGGGCTGTCCATGAGCATGATCTAGAGCATGATCTATTTATTTTCAAGTTTAAGTAATTAATTTTTTAGACTCAAGTTTGATAAATGCTACAAAATTCTCTGATGATTTAGGTACCTCTGCGCATAGGTGGAAGTAGCAGAGCAGAATTGTGGCCTCAGAGCAGGTGATGAGTAGAATAATGAAAACAAGAAACAGGAATCCAAACATATAGTACATCTGATGAGACCTGGAAAATAAAAAGGAAACATGTGATAAAGAAACAAACTCCTCTTTGCTGTGCAAAGAGTGCAAATTGTTCAAAACAGGATCTGCAGACAAATCTGGACAGACAGCATTCCTGTGTCCTTACCAAATGCTGTTGAGGATGAAGAAAAGCTGGATGAAGATGCAGCCAAAGGGCAGGATGCCACCCATTACTATACCGGGAATAGGTTTTGTAAAGAAAGATTGCTCAGGAATTTGACGGGGGATTTGGTTTGTTCGCACTGGTTGCTCAATTGCCTGAACAGGAGCAGAAAAAGAGAAGATATGATTACAAACTCTCAAACACACACACACACACACACACACTTACTTAATCTACAATCAATAATTTCAAGATAGACAAATTAATAAACTAGGAGGCCTAACTCACAGCCTTCTTGAATCCAAAGTAGGCACCAATAAAGGTGAGGGGAACAGAGATCCCAAACCACAGAGCCAAAATGGCCACCAGAGTGCCAAACGGGATTGCTGCTGAGGAACCCTCCACCCAAAGGATCAGGTTCATCAGGAAGAAGTCTGCAAACACAATACTAGAGACGAGAGGTGGACAGAAGACAATGACATCGAGAAAGATAATACATGTGAGATGGATACAGGGTGCAAGACAAAATAAGGGCATATCAGGTGCAACATGTCACTCCAGCACTCCAGGGCAGAAATGTACAAAAGTGAGACAAATGAACAAATGCAGTAAAGTTAACTTACCCTGGGCACAAGAGTGCTGTCAGCAAGACGTTTGTCTTCCACTTTTCACCTCCAAAAGCTGAGAATAGAAATAGAGATCGATGAGGATATTATGATCTGTTGACTCATGTAAGACTTTAATGAAACAATTCTAAAAGGTTTTCATTGGACTCTTACTTTTGTAAAGGCGTGCAGAGACATAGCCAGCAGGCGTGCCCAGCAGAACCCAGAGGACCACAGCACATGTCATGAGAGCCCCCCTGTTGGCTGGTGACAGGAAACCCAGACACGCCAGGACTACAGTGGACAAACAGTCATCAGTGCACTCATTCAGACATATCAGCATCATTGCAGTATCAGGCACAGCAACAATGTGTAGCCCTCTGTCCGCTGTCTGTCTCTCCAACAGGCGGGGAAACAGCACACACAACAGCAATACTGCTGTCATCTATGGTGCATGGTATCTCACCACAGCAGGTAATATTGTAAAAAAAAAAAAAACATTAAGGAACAGCTTTGATTTTAATTGTTCTACTGCCTTGCTGGCTGTAGGGATATCCGTTACCAAGTTACATTTTGTTCCACATAATGTCTTACATTTTAATTAAGTTTTCACATGTACTCTATATGTTTAATATACTAAACTGAGTGATATGAAGTGCAACCACAAGGCAGCCGTGTCAGTGTAATACTGACTGCAACAATTTATATGTTACTGTAACAATTGCTTGTGCACAGAAAATCTAACTCAGTCAATCCTTGGAGTATTTTATGCGGTGAACACAAAGAAAAAATTAAAATAATGATAGAAGTTAATAAGAATGAA